TCCCGGGAGGCCCTGAGGTCCTTCTGTCCCAAGCAGAGTTGGGTGTTTCCATCTTCCATCAAAAGGGCACCCCTTTACGAAGTCCCGGGTAAGCAGCCAGACTCTGGGCTCTGGCCTGACTCCTGAGCCAAGTCTATGGCTGAGAACAGGGCTTGATCTTGCTCAGCCCCAAGTGTTCACTGCAGAGCTGGGGAGCCTTATGCTCTGCTTACAACAGGCAGCTCTTCAACGCTCCCACAATTTACACGGGGCGTGCAAGGTCCCGAGGACATTTTTGGAGTCAGATGTACAATCCATGATATTTTTAGACTTAGATGCAAGCTCTGGGTGGCCTTCATGATACGGTTTTACATCAAAAGGGCTGATGGGCCCCTTGAGAGCCTTACGGGCGTTAAATCTGGGCTAAAGTTTGCCCATGTCCTGACCCCAAGTAAGCGAAGGGACCAGTTAGCTCATTTTAGTGTCAGAATAGGGGGCGAGAACACACCACGCCATGATCTTTGCGGCTGACATCTGGGCCCTGTCACCTGGAGTTTGGTTTTTCTACAGGTTGAAAAAAAGAGGAGCAAACTGGGGCTTGGTTTAGGTAAGAAAAACGCTCCCACGGCAGTGGTAAGCGTGGGAGTTAGCCTGAGCTTGGAAGCGTCTGCTATCCCCGGAGCCACCCAAGAGCCTATAGACCCATCACCCCCGTTTCTGGCACGGAGCCTTATGTATACCCCAACGATTTTGTCAACACCTAAGTCTCTTACCACCACATCAGGACGCAGGAGTCGCCGTGGTGGCCATCGCCTCGTCTTGCGCTAAGGGTTTAGAGCTGATGGGGTCTATGAGATCTGGGAATCGAAAATCCGCCTCCTCTTACCTGCCAAACTTATTCACCAGGGGGCCCACCAAGAAAGAGCCAACGAGGCCTCCGAAGGGGAACATGGACACAGACACAGACCACAGCAGCGTCAAAGAAAACTCGCTCAGGTAGTCACCTGTTCTGTCGTAGAAGGTGCTGTTATAAAACTCCTTCATGATCTGCAGAGGAAGCAAGACCGGCCCCACAGAGTGTAACTGGTTTGCCAGAAAGAGCCAAGTGTCCTGGTCCGCGCCAGGGCCCAGGCGTCCGCGCCGCCCAGCGGAGGGAAGGGGAGAGGACAAGACTCGTCGGGCAAAAGGGGAGGCGGGTGGGGGCGGCTGCGAGCCACGATCGCAAACTGCCGGGGCCGTTTCTCGCTCTAGAAGGACTCATCCCCCCCGATGGCCCCCCAGCAAGGAAGAGCAGGCCCCTCCTAGAGGGCAGCCCCCTGAGTCCGGGCCTGGCTTCCTGACGAGTGGAGGCTCCGCGCCATGGGCCTACAGGGGAGCAAAAAACCTGCCACCCCAAATCTGTCTTGGCCAAAGCCAGCTTTAGGGGCTCTGAAGGCCAGGTGGGGGTGGCTTTCGGAAAAGGTATGTACGGGCAAACCTCTGTCCCAGCAAGACCTGCCCCCTCGGCTCTTCAGCGGAGAGGGCGGGACCCCGCCCTGTGTCTCTGCCGACTGGGCTTCTCCAGCAGCCGCCACGCTCCTTCTTCCTCCCCACAGCCCCTGTGGGGCCTCAGCCCGCGCCGGCCTCTGAGCCCACCTGGTCACGCTGGGCCTCCCGTGGGTATGAGGAGGCGGAGATGACCACCGCGCCCCGCTGTGTGGGGCCTGGAAGAGCCCAGCGGGCACGGGCCGATGGCCTTTGCCCCCAACAGGCTGTCCCGGGCGTCCCTGGGGTGTTTCCTTGCCCGTCCCGGGACGACCCACGGCATGGCCCCACGCTGACCTTGCCTGGAACGGTTACCCCAAGCCCACCGCGCATGGGGGTGCCACTCGCCCAGCGACCCACCTCAGAAGGGGAGTTGATGGAGGCCACGTTGTACCCATACTGGAAGGACGACCCAAAGGCAGCGGTCAGGGTCGCCAGGGCGAGCACGAGGGTCAGCCTCTGCGGGGAGAGGGGGGGTCAGGGCAGCATGGGGCTGGGACACCCCGACACCCTCACAGTCTCGCAGGAAGAGCTCGCAAACGGGGGCTCACGGTGCGCGCTGCCCTGCCCAGCACCGCCGACTCAGCGCTTCGGGCACTGTGCGCCCCAAATGTCACCAGGACAGTGGGGGTCGCCCTGGGGTGAGAGCCCCGGGGGCAGGAGACACAGCAAGGCGCTGAACCCCACGCGGCTCTGGGACGTCCTGCCCTGGGCTGCTGGGCCACCTGCTGCAGCACACACCACCCCGAACTTCTACGAGAAACAAGGGGAACAGTTTTGATCATTTCAGGTCCCGGCTGAGTCTCCGTAGCCCCTGGACTTTGGCTGAACCAGGCGGGTGGCACAAAGGGAAACATTTCAGTACACAGTGCTAGGGAGTCCAGCACATGCAGGCCACCGCCCTGCCGCCACAGGAGGGGCCGAGCACGTAGTCAGACGCTCTTCCGCGGCAAGACGGGAGCGGGGAGCACAGGCAGAGGGAGACTCCGCCGGGCCCGCAGTGTCCGCGGCGCGGGCCACGGCTTAGCTTCCTGTCCAGTCTCGCCATCTGTGAAGTGAGGCGAACAGCGGGCCCCAGGTGGGCGGCCGCCGGGAGCTCCGAGCCCCCTGCACGCCCTGTCCTGCGCCTCACTTACGTCCTCACTTAATGTCACAGGTTCTCGGAGACTGACTTCCAGCAAAATGAGGTGTAGAAGCTGCCCAAGAGGACGCCTGGCCAGGGTCCCCGAGGCGCCAGCAGGACCTCGGTGGGGTGCGAGCAGAGGCACCGGCGAGCTGGCCCCCGTCTCCCTCCCCCAGGCAGCGACACAGCGCGAGGGCAGGTGTTCCTGCCCAGGCTGGCAGAGCCTGGCACCAGGCAGCAGCCCGGGCCTGTGGCTCTGGCCCAGGCTCACCCACCACCCCCAGGAGGGCCGGGGTGGGGAGCAGGTTACAGACGGGGGCGCAGTGACAGAGCCCAGAGGGGAGCAGTTCCGGGGCTGCAGCAGGCACCGCTCTGGGCGCTGACCAATCTGGGTGCTGACTACTCTGGGCGCTGACTGCTCTGGGCACTGGCCGCTCTGGGTGCTGACCACTCTGGGCACTGACTGCTCTGGGCACTGGCCACTATGGGCGCTGACCACTCTGGGTGCTGACTGCACTGGGCGCTGACCACCCTGGGCGCTGACTGCTCTGGGCGCTGACCACTCTGGGCGCTGACCTCTCTGGGCGCTGACCACTCTGGGCACTGACCGTTCTTGGCACTGGCTGCTCTGGGTACTGACCACTCTGGGCACTGACTGTTCTGGGCACTGGCCACTATGGGCGCTGACCACTCTGGGTGCTGACTGCACTGGGCGCTGACTGCTCTGGGTGCTGACCACTCTGGGCGCTGACCGCTCTGGGCGCTGACCACTCTGGGCACTGACCGCTCTGGGCGCTGACCACTCTGGGCACTGACCGTTCTGGGTGATGACCGCTCTGGGCACTGACCACTCTGGGCGCTGCTTCATCTAGCTACAGGGGCTGGGCTGGGGCCTAAGAGTGGGGGTACAGTGGTGGGCAAAGCAAGGGTGCCTCCCTGTAGTGCTTCTGTTGCTTGGTTTTGTGGCAGGGAGGGAGAAGGGAGGCCGGAGGGAAGAAGGAGGGGAAGAAGGGAGGGGTGGACACAGAAAATACGGATGAAATGTTTCCCTCTGCTCTTTCCGCGGTAACAGCCAGCCATGCAGCCACGGTTTCAGCCCGGCCGCCTCCTGCCCGTTCTCTGCTTTGATGGGCCTGAGGTCTGAAGTCCTTAGCGCAGCTCAGCAGGGGAGCTGGCTGGGCATGTGGCCTGCCGCATGTGGGGGCTGGGGGTCCCACCAGGCAGCACCCGCAGCCACGTCCCAAACTGCTTTTATGGGTGAAGCGCACGTGACCAGCAAGGCAGCAGAGAGCACAGTGCGTGACCCGTGCTTGGCGTCCTCCTCCGGTGTGAGCCACGGACATCCGGGGCTGCAGGAATCAGGGCTCACCCTGGGAAACGGCCAAGATATTCTCGGGAGGTTTTCACAGGGAGGTGCCAACGCCTTCCTCGTTACTGACAGCTGACAGCGCCTGTCTGAGGAGCTGCTGGAAGCCAGGCAAGGGACCTGGTCCCAGGCAGGTGGGGGGGCACAGGGCACATGCAGCTTCTCGAAAGGACAGACCCAGCCAGGGCCCACAGGGGCTGTCTCCTCGGAGGCCGGGAGCCAGGACTCGGCAGGCCCCAGACCACAGCCCTCAGGCCCTGTTCTTTTCCTGATGTTGCTGAGACACCCGCCCGCAGCAGGGCTTCTGGCTGGGGTGTGATCAAGGATGCAGGGAAGGAAGGCCCCCCAAAGCGTTTGCCTCCATGACCCCATTTTCACTGTCAGAGAGACATGCTCTCTTAACACTTTTCTTTGGGCGCCCCCTGGTGGCGCAGCTGGTTAAAGCTCAGCACTGCCAGCTGGCCACAGCCGCTTCAGCCTGAGTTCGATCCCCAGCCCTGGAGGTGACCCACAGGGCGCAGCAGCCATCTCCTGACCCGCCCACTGCTCCCCTCAGCAGTGGACTTCATTGATCTGCCTGTTCTGCTCCCCACTCTGTCTCTGGGGAACCCTCTCACCGCCCCTGCACCTCTGGCCTGTACCCCAGTTCTGTATGCATAAATAAAAAAATCTTTTTTAAAAAAAAGAGTAAAGGCAAATGGTCTTTCTGTCACTGTGTACTTTTCTCAAACCAAAGACTCAAGAAACATAGCCAACATGGGGGCGGGGGGCAGTCAAAGTCCAGAAAACTCATCTCTCAAGAAAAGGGGGCTCATCCTCTGAAGGCAGAGAAGCCCCGCGCCGGAGGCGGCTTTCCAGGCCTCCTCTGCTCATGCCAAACGGCCAGGGGGCGGGTTCAAGAAATGCTCCACGGCCAGAATCAGACCCCCAAACGCTGCACCTCGTGTGAGGGCTGTGTGTGGGTTTCAGAGTCCCTTCGCCTTGGGCCTCGGGGCTCCGGTGGCCGGGTGTCTCTGAAGTCGCTTCAATCTGGCTCCAGGCGTACGCTGTCCTGTTAGAATGATTCCCTAAGAGGGGCCCTCCCTGGCGGCCCAACGGGTTAAAGCGCAGCACACGCAGCTGTCCCCAGCAGCCGCTTCAACGTGGGTTCGACTCCTGGCCAGGGAGTGACCCACAGGGCACAGCAGCCCTCTCCCGACCCGCCCGCTGCTCCCTCAGCAGTGCGCTTCAGTGGATCCGCCCGTTCTGTTCCCAACTGTGTCTCTGGGAAGCCTCTCACCCACCACACCTTTGGCCTGTACCCCAGTTCTGCGTGCATAAGTAAACAAATCTCTAAAAAATTTTTTTAAAAAGAAAGATTCCCAAAGATTCTCTAAACCTGGATCTACCCAAATCTCTCCTCCCCTTCTGCAAACGTCTGGCTGCTGGGGGGACTCTGAGGGGCAGTCCCCGAAGGGTCCCCTCACCGTTGCCGCCCATCCAGTCCCTAGGGCACACTTACCCCCCTCTTCTCGGCCAGCTCCTCTTGCCCCATCTGTGTTCTGGACGGCAGCGCCGGCCTGTGTCCTTGCAGCCCGGGTAGCAGGTGCGCCGAGAGCAGAGGACACTTTCCGGCCGCACTTTGGCCCGCCCAGGCCCAGCCAATAGCTCTTTTATAACTTCAGGTGGAAGAACCTTAGACCCAGGGCTTTGTCCTTCTTTCACTTCTTGAAATGAAATGTCTGGGGCTAAGTTTAGCCAGTGGGCACCCCAGGACTGCAGACACAGCGCCTTCCTGACTGGGACCTTCCGCAAGATTTCCTGCAACAGCCTCCCCCAGCCAGGCTCCCTGGGCCGGAAGCTTATTTCTGTCACCGCGCACGGGGCCCAGAGCTGCTGCGGACCGAGGTCCCGGCACTCGGGCACTCGGTGGTCCCCGAGACGGCTCAGAAGGGGGCCCTGCCAGGAAGCCTCTTTTAATAGCGTCAGCTTTTGCCCAAACAACCGCACGACGCTTTCTTGGAGAGCTTC